TGCAGGGCCACCCTGAATTTGGTCAGCAACCCCAGAGTTCTTCAGCATCTGAGGAACGAACTCACCAGAGACTGGTATACAAACCAGATGTGCCTGCATTTTAACGCTTCGGGTCTGGTCTGCTGTTCTGTCCCCTGACTCTGACTTCTGTGTGCACCCTTACCTGACACTCCTCATCACTAACCTTGCTGGACATATTTAGTCCCTTGGTCCTGCCTGCTCTGGAGGCAGAGTGCTGGACTTCACTTGGTGATCATGTACCCTTGAAGCAGTGACCTTGCCTTTCTCTACCTCAATTGCTTCACCTTTAAAATGAAGATGATAATAACACCAAATCCATATGGCGTTATGATTTTTAAATGAAATAATAAACATAAATACCATCTATGCACTGATGACTCTGAAACTTCACTTCCAGCACTAGGCTTCTTTGCTGCCTCCAGACACCTGTAGCCTACTGGATATAGCATCCAATGTGGCATCTTAAAGTTAACACTGGGCTCTTGATTCTTCCACCCACCCACCCAAACTGGGTCTTCTCCAATTGCCCCTGCTCAGTAACTAAGAAACGCCATTCTACAAGTTGATCAGGACAAACTTTGGGCATGAGCCTGACTCTCCCTTCTCACACCTCATATCTGTTCTGTCAGCAGATCTTATCTGCTGCTCTTCAAAGTCATGCCCCCTCCACTTACCCCTCTGCCTCAGCCATCCTGGTCCAGCTTTATTGATGCTATTGCTCTCCTATTCCTTTAGTAGTTGAGGTGTCTATCTGCCCTGGGGATTTCTTTACTGAAAAAAATGGTCTTTATAGGATTTTATAATGTGAAGAGCTATATTTAGGATTCTTCGATATGAAGTATGGTTGCTATTAATAAAGCCATCATAAGATCATAAAATGTCATAAAGAGATGCAACTTAGAGTCACTCTCACTACTCCAAGTGTGGTTCAGCAACCAGCAGCCTGGGCACCACTGGAGAACCTGTTAGAAATGCAGAATCTCAGGCCTTCCTAGAATAACTGCACAATCAGAATTTGCATATGAATCTTGTTCAAGGTTGAGAAGAATTAGAAGTCATAAAATCCACCCTGCCCTTCCAATACACACACACACACACACACACACACACACACACACACACACACATCCCACATACTGTATAGATAAGAAAACTGAGGCATGGAGTAATACAGTCAGACACAAAGCTGATTATTTGCCATCTCTTTTATGTTAAGGGGCATTTTCACCATCTTATTCAATGAAATCTGTTAAAAGAACTTAGCAAGCAATAAAGCTCTAAAAAGCTTTGGAGATCTATTAGCTATTCCTTTGATCTGTAGTAGCTTTCTTTATAACGCACCCTTGGAAGCTAGAGGGATTAATTATGCAGTAGTTTGCTTCAAAACAGTTTCCTTTGATTGATTTAATCCTCTGCCCATGCAGTTCAAGAAACAACATAGAGAAAACAGCCTGCTTATGGGGTCCAAGTTTCCACTGGTCTTCCCACTGTCATGGCAAAGGGGCTGCTGGCTTTTCAGAAGCAGCACTCGGGCTTCCAGTCATGAGCAGTTCTGCATTATATGTTTCATTTATGTTCTAAAAAATACACGATGCATGCAGCTATTATTTCTGCCAGCCAGGTGTTATGTCAAATCCTTGAAGAATATTTCCAAAGCCACCTTAGAAGAGGGTACAATTTATGCTCATTTCTTTACTGCTAAAAGTGCAGTCTCTTCTTTCTCTTTTATAAAAAAATCTTGGGCAGCTCTGTTTCCAGTTGTTGTTTTCAATACTATTCCTGGATGCATCAAAAGTATAGATGAGGAGAGTAGTTAGTCTTCACCTTTGGTTTAACTGCCAGAAACGCCACTAGGAGCAAGATCATGAGCAAAAGAGGAAGTAAAATCGAGGTTGCCTATTTCAGCTCAAAATGCCAAATAATGATATTACAGGCTACCTTCAATAATTGCATTTCAGTCTGGCTGTATGTGATCGTAACTTTCCTGGAAGAGAAGCAGAGGGAATGGAACATAAGCTAGACAGATTCCTGGAAGTATCGTTCCAAAAAGACGGAGTTAATCACATCCACGTGAGGGTATTACAGCAGCTAATATACCTTAAGTTTCACTAAAGCAAAGAAATGTTATCCAAAAGAAAAAAACAGCAAGTGCATATTTATGAAATTTATCCTTGCCTTTAGCATGCACTGGTTCTATATCTCAAATTTTGAGTTGTCGCAAAAAAAAAAAAAGAAAGAAAGAAAGAAAGAAAGAAAGAAAAGAAAGAAAGCAAGCAAGCAAGCAAATGTTTTAATGGCTCTTTTGGCAGATGCCCCTGTTCTGGCCCCCCTCCAGTAGACAATTCCCAAGTTACAGATGCAAATATTTTTGGTGTTTTTCTGCTTAATGGCTCTTTTGGCAGATGCCTCTGTTCTGGCCCTCCTCCAGTAGACAATTCCAAAGTTACAGATGCAAATATTTTTGGTGTTTTTCTGCTACATACACTTAGTATCTAAATAGGTAAAGGTCTCTTTAAAAGCATAGAAAATTCTCTTTCCAGCTATGTGGCAGGCTGGATGTTCAGAGAAATTTTTCCCAGTTTAGCACTCCTTAAACTACTAGGAGAAAAAAAAATTAATTTTAGTTAATGCATGGCTGAGCTTTCAGCAAAATAAGGCAATTCCTTAGAGTCTAGAAATGGCAATAAAGCATTAATCCATAGATATAAGCAGACGAAGGCCGATGTTTACTCTGCACATCCCTGGGGCTTTGAATTGGGTAATATATAGGTCCTAGGCATGAACAATGGAGCATCAAACCTGGGGAGTAGGCAGAGTAATAGATTAGATGAGAGGCCTTTTGGAAAAATGCTGATATCCCAAAAGATACCTTTAGTAGCACTAGGAGAAAAGAATGACCTACAGAGGAATTTGGTAAAGTAAAATGTGATATTAGTCTTAACTTATCTGGAGAAGGAAAGAAAGAAAAGTGGGCAGGGAAGGAGGAAGGAAGGAAAGGAATGAGGGAGGAAGAAAAGTCTTCTTACTTAGATTTAGGGTCTGAACCCATACTACCTTTATGGACAAAGTAAAATAATATGAAATTTTAATGCAATTTAGATAAAATCACCAGAGATTTGGCAGAAGCAAATATAAACCCTCTCTGGAGGAAGAAAATTTAAACTGAGACCTCAAAATTTCCGCAAATGAGTTAAGAATCGAAAGTAACCACACGTATGAGAAAATAAGCTACCGTGAATTAGAGTCAGCAGAAACAACCAATTTTATGATCAGATTCTCAGAGACTGTATATGTTGGAATTATCAAATAAAGAAATATATAACTATGTAGTTATATATGTTTAAATATATAAAAATGGACTAGAACATATAACAAAGAAAGGGAAGACTATCAAAATTGAAAAGGCAAATTTTAAGAGAAACTAAATAGAACTCCTAGAAAATTTTTTAAAAGATATTTGATTTATGGATTTAATAGCATCATAGATAAAGCTGAAGAGAGAATTAGTACCCTGGAATATAGAGCCAAAGAAATTGCTAAGGATATATCTAGGGAGACAAAGCAGTAGAATTCATGAAAACAAAAGAGACATGGAAGATGAGTAAGAAAGTTTGACATGCATTCTCAGAGACTGTATATGTTGACATTTTAGAGGTACATAAAGATTAAATAGAAAAGAGACAATATTTAAGAGACAATATTTAACTGGCTAAGAATTTTTCAGAATTGCTTAAAGACATCAGCCCTCAAATTTAGAAAGCTTTACCTAGACACGTCTTAGTGAAATGGCAGTATTTCCAAGACAAAAGAAAATATTAAATATAGGCTGAAAGACAGATTACCTACAAAGGAATGAAAATTAAACTGATAGCTATTTCTTATAAGTTATAATAGAAGCCAAATAATAGTATTATATCTTCAATACACTAAAAGTAACTCTTAGAATTATAAATAAAGCAAAACTATCTTTCAATACTTTAATTTCAGACTAAAACTGCATCTACAGTACATTTAAGAAAAATTCACACTCAAGAAATTTCAGAAAGGTGTACTTCAAAGAAGAAAATGTGACTTCAAAGGAAGGACCAAGGAGCAAGGAATGAAGAACAAAGAAAGTGATTAACATGTGGTTAAATCTAAGAGAATGTTAACTACATAAAAATTAACAATAATGTTAACAAAAAGTTGTTAATAAAACATTAACTAAAGTACTATATATTTAAATAGGGAATGGTCATTCAAAGATTCTTGTATTGTTTGGGAGACGATTAAAAATATTATTTCACTTTAGATTTTGATAAGTTAAAATATGCTTCATAAAATTTCCAGGATAACCACTAAATGAATTAAAAATAGCTTTAACCTTTCAAACTAGAACAGAAACAAAATTGAATGAGAAGGAGAAAAACGCCAATTAATTCAAAAGATGGCAAGAAAAGAAGAGAGTGAGGGTCACATGATAAGGGGAACAGAACTGGAAGAAAAAGCATAGAAATTTAGAGACAGATAGAAAGTATGAAATAAAATGTTAGGCAGTAATCCAAAGTTATCAGTAATCAAAATCAATGTAAATCAACTAAATGCTAGATAAAAGAGTTTTATAGACTGGATTTTTTAAATGACCTATATATTATTTATAAACATCTGAAACATAAGGATATAGAAAGTATAAAAGTAAAAAAATATATTTTAAAAGGTTACGACAGGCATATATTAAGGAAAAGAAAGATTATATAGTTATATTAATGTGTGAGAAAAAAAATGGACTTTAAGAACAAAAGCATTACTAGAGAAAAAAAAGCAACATTACATGGTCATGTTCACTTTGCCAGAAGATATTAGTTCTAAACTTGCATCTACCTAATTAATATATAGCTTCAAAATGACAAACTCAGGGAAGAATTGACAGAACTATTGGAAAATTGACATTTCCATCTATAGTGAGAGATTTTAACATGCCTCTCAGTCCTTGGTAAATCAGAGAAACAAAAAGATTCAGTACAGACACAGAGGAATTGAGGACATATTTGACAATCTTAATTCCCTTAAAAAAGACACTCCATCGAACAAATGGAGAATTCAGATTCTTTTTAAGAACACGTGAAACAATTATAAAAATTGATCCCCTGGTTGGCCACGAAGCAAACTTCATAAATTTCACAAAATTAATATTGTATAGGACACATCTTTCTGACCAAAACAGAAATCAATCATGAAGATAAGTAGAGAAATTTATAATTTGTGAAATTAAAACTACTAAAAAGAAAGAATTCATACCGAAACTTGGAACATGTTTAAAACTAAGTATAAAAACACTACATACCAAAACTATTCTATTAGAAAATAAGAAGTGCTAAAAAGTGATCATCTAAGCATCATACTTAAGCAGTCAGAAAAAAAGAAAAAAGAATCCAAAAAAAGCAATAGGAAGGCAGTAATAAAGATAAGAGCAGAAATGATTAAATTACAAAGATCATAAATCCAAAGAGTGGTTCTTAAAAAAATTAAATTTATAATTAACAATTTTTAAGAATAAAATCGAAAGATCAAACAAAAAGCAATAATAAGAAAGAATGAATATAAGAGAGATTAAAAGGAAAATAAAAGAATCTCATGACCAACTTCATGCCGATAAATTTCAAAACTTTTTTTAAATGTGAAGTTCCCAAGAAAAATATCAATGACCAAAGTCTGACTCAAGAATAGAAATAGAGAACTTAAATTTGCTTCTAATCATAATAGAAACTGAATCAATATTTTAAATTTTTGCGCAATGACAATACCAGGCCCAGACAACTTTATCCATAAATTCTACCAAACGTTTAAGGACCAGAATATTTCCACATTATGTAAGCATTTTCAGGTCAACAAAAAGTGGCGAGAAAGAAGGGAAGTGGTGTTCTCTTAGTTTGTGAGGCTGATGTAATACTGACCTCGAAACCAAACAATGCCAACATAAGAAAGAAAAATCACTGGCTAGTCTCCCTCTTGAATATGGATGCAGAAATCTGAAACAAAATCTTAGTAAACTACATCCGAGAATGTATTTTTAAAAGGTAACGCATAATTACCAAGTAAGACTTACTCCGGGGTTGCAAATTTGGATCAATGTCAGATAAGCTAGTCATGTATACATAATCAGTTTAAAGAAGAAAAACCAAATCATCATCTCATTAGAAAACACAGTGGCAGACATGGGCCTCACAGGACTGCAGAGCAGAAAAGAAAGACAGAATATGAAAAAGTTAACAGAAAAAAAGTTTTTTGGGGATGTGGCAAATACTAAAGATTCGTTTTGCATCTGTAACATTAGAAAAGATGTCTGCATAGAGGACATATTCTTTGATGACTTGTAATGGATGAAATCAACAACCAAATTATTTTTAATAAAATGCATTTAAAACACCAAACATAAAAGGTGTATAATATATATTGATAAAACAGTTACCTTTCTTTATTCATTTTCCCTCAAATCAAAGTCTTAGAATTGATTCTGGTAGGATTGGGTTTTAAAAATCATTTTTGCACTGTGACCCCACATTTGGGGTCACTTCAAATAATTTTTAGCAGAGTTCACAAAAATGACACACAGTTCGAACCAGATGCCCAATGGATATTCAATAAAAAGTAAAATAATGTGAAATTACAAAATCGTAACACCAGTCCAAATTGATCATTGTTTATGTAGTCTCTCATTTTAGCTCTAATCACAAATTTTCTAGGAAGATTTTCTTTGCATGTTTTCACTCAAATATTCAATATTCCTTTAGAAGTTTTATACTTATGGAATCTAGTTTTATACTTATGGAATCAAGTATTTACACCAGGATTTCAGGTAATCACATAATACTGGAGAAAGGTATTGCTGGCCTCACTCATTTTAAACTGTTGAGTGGTCAAATATTGAGGCAGACAAGGTGTTAGGATGGGGCCTTCGTTTTCCACTCCTGCAAACCACAGCTCCTTCAATGACTGTATAATGGCTTCCTAGGGATAATGGAATTGCATCCACAGGCTCTGGAACTATAAACTGGGGATTATAGATGTTTACTAAGCATCCATACATTTACAGGGGCTCTAGTTTTGAAATGTGTTTTCTACTTCACAGTTATTGAGTCCATTTTAGGACAGTGGAGATTGTCAATGCATTAACTGAAATAGGTTATACAGCATTTGTGATTTGTTTCTCTTCCTCTGCTGATATTTCCTTGATCATCTGAAGGGAGACCAAAGGGGAGAATAAAGCAGCAATGTGTTATTTTTAAATGTCAAGTCACCTAAATGGTGGGTTCATTTAGACATCATTGCTGTATTGTATAAACTTGGAAACATTTGCCACATTTGTGTTTGAGAATTAGGCCACGATGTTGGTAACTGAGGTAGACTTGGTTGACGGAAGTAGCTAAGGCAGGCCGGGACCTCCCACAGCCGTGTATGTGGACAGGGAAAACTCCTGCCCATTTTGAGAAGTCTTGTTATCAAAGGCCACAGAATGGCTATTTAAATGCAAAAAAAAAAAAAAAAGAAGGGAACTATACATCCTGAGAACAAACTAAATGAGAAACCACACTTTTATTTTTTATTCCAAATAACAGCCCCAATGCATTGACAGTACAAGATCAACTACAGCTTTAATCTGCAAAATAGAATATAGAGCATTAAGAAGCTAGAATCAAGATGTTGAAAAAAGATAAAAGAATCTGGTGCTTAGAAAAGGTAATTCAAATAGAATTAAATTGGGCCATACCTCACCCTCCAACCCGTTAACACATGATTCGAAAACATTTAACGAAGATGAATGACATAGTGTCTGCTCTTTAGAAGAGCGCTACCAAAAGAGACTAAGTTGCGAACACACAACTGCAAAGCAATCAGGAGGTTGTGTGCCAGATGGATGTGTGCATGTGCAGGGTGTATGCGCACAGAGAAGGCGGTGCAGAAGGCTGCAGGGGGAGGCGGGGAAGCATCCTGTGGAAGACGACACAGAAGCCGAGTCACCAAGAACAAGGAAAAGGTGGTGAGAAGTGAAGTAGAAGCTAGGGTACAGGGAATAAATAAAGCCACATCTTTCAAACATGTTTCCAAAAGTGGTGACCAGATTCATAAAGCTCCTGTTTTCTCTTGTCTCCTTCAGTGTTTACATATCCAGAAAATGGCACTGACGATTTCCGAGATGAAGCAAAGAACATAAACCACCAGGTATTTATAGATGTCACAGAAGGCAGATGAGACAGGATCCTTAGATCATACTGCAGGTCACCACCCATGTGGTCATGATGCCAAATTAGTGCATCCCAGACTAGTGTTTTTAGAGAATACAATAGAGTAAGGTAACATAACTTGCCATATAATAGATAGCATGGAGTAAAACAGGAATATCACTATGCATCAAAGCTAAAAAGGATAAATATCGTGTTGTACACTTTTTGCATCCATTATATATGTTGAGTACAAGTTGGTATATACTCTATAGTGTGTAAATTATATCATTATGTAATGTATTATGACTATTTTATAGTATATAAGTGTATAATTACTATATTATGTTCATATATATAATTAGAATAGAACAGAATAGAATAGAATTGAAATATATAGTATAAGGTACTTGAGCTTTGGATAGTAGAGTGAATCATAGATAAAAAAGATATAGTCGTGTGCAACTTTTTTCTGTTTTATATATAGCATATATGCATTATAATATTATGCATTTAAATATATTATATAATTATAGATTACATATTACATAACACATATATAATTATATATTATGTATACATACATATTACAAAATTAACATGTGTGTATTATGTATTAAATATGTAATATATAATATATATAATATGTAATGTTATATGATATGTAATATTACACAATTTTGTTGTATATTATATAATTTATAATTTATTGCATGTATTATAAAGTAGGGACAATCATATAGCATTAACATTTATTTGGTAATAATAATAATAATAATAATAATAGCTAATATTTATATACACTTGTAAGACTTTTGTATAGACTACAAACTGGGGACAACAATATACTCTACCTCACAAGACTGTCGTGAAGTTTGAGTATGCCAATGCATATCACAGACTGCCTGGCACACAGTAAGCTATCAAAAATGGTAGCTTTATTATTATTATTACAAGATTTCATAGTTAGTAGATGGTGATTCCATAATATAAATTAAACTGGTCTGATGCCAAAATCTATGTTTTCTCTACAACATGAATGAACTAATTACCAGATGAATATACCTGGTTTTCTGTGATGTACTAGATACCAAATTTTAGGCTAACTGTTAAAAGTCAGTTTTAAGAAGTGGAAATTGTTTACTCCTGTTCACATGCAGCTCTTATAGATTATAGAGAGAATATTCTCATTCCTGGGGCCAACCTTATGAACTTTCATGAACAAGTATATCCAAAGATTGTAGTATTTCTGACAAAGACTTCCACATAATCGTTTTCAAATGGTTTGCAATGCAATCAAAATCAGCTAAGAATGTAAAAATAAACCTATGATTGAAACAGTCTTCAATAATAGTTAGATATTTTAACACGCAAGAGCCATATACTGAATCAACTTTGCATGGACTTACATTGCATTAACTTCTCCATTTCCTTTTCTTCTTTGCTTCTCTCCACTTCCTCCTCCTCCCTTCTCTCATTTCTCTTTCATTTTCTCTTTCAGGCACCTCCTTCCAAAGACCCATTGCAGATGAACACCTATGTTGCCTTGTACAAATTTGTACCACAGGAGAATGAAGATTTGGAAATGAGGTAAGCACATTCTTTAATGAAAAAGAAAAGGATGAATGAAAGAGAGAGAAAATATTTTAAGTCAATGTCCTTCCATGTGAAAAAAATAATTCCATTTGTGCTGTCTCCTAGTGCTTCTCAGGCGTTAGCCTGAGCAGTGATTCTCAGGCTTTAATTTGAGTCCGATGACCTGCAGGGCTGGTTAGCACCCATATTGCTGGGCCCTGTCCCTGGAGTTTCTGATTCAGCAGTTCTGGGGTGAGACTTGAGAATCTGCATTTCTAGCTGATCTGCAGGTGGTTCCGATGCTGCTGATTCGGGACCACGCTTTAAGAAGCATGATTTTAGCACATTGCCAACAGAACTGCTAATGAAAGTTTTCATGAAAGTTGAGCATCAAATGCATCCTGTGGGGTCTCACAGGGAATCAGAAGATGTATTAAATGCCCAAATTAACATCAATCAAAGGATCAAACAAACTATTTGTTTCTCCTGCAGGAGACTGGTGTCTCCCTCTGGCTCAGGCTCTTAGGTAGGACCCATCCCACTTACAATAACTGACATACAGGGTGGGCTTGGGGATCCTCATGAAATCTGAACCTTTCTCTTGACCACGATTTAGGGTCCTCATGTTTCAGGAGTCATTATGCTGGAGTCAATCCTGTATTCACGTCCTACTTATTGTGTGACCGTAAGCAATTTAGAAACATCTCATTATTTTGATTTCCTTATTTATAAAGGAATAATAACAACCTCTCCCCTCTTAGGTATTTGTAAGGATAAAATGAATAATGTTCTTAAAGCATCTGGTACAGTGCCTAGTCACCGTGAACACTCAGTAACTGGTAGTTACAATTTTTATAATGTGTTCACTGGGCTTTCTCAAAGAAAAGGCTTTATTCCTTTCCTCCATTCATGACCCCAAAACATAAGTAATCTGGGGAGAAGGCTTTGGTGTTTTCCTGTCCTAGAGCAGGATAGAAGGGGCTGCTTTTCCAGTCTAATGGACCTTGGAGATTGGTTCTTTCCAATTATGAAGAGAATGGAAAGATAAATTAGCATTGAAAACTACTGAAATGTCAGAGCATTGGTGCAATAGCCTCCATTTTGGGGTGTACTCCACTTGTCTGAGCGCCATGCAGACCAAGTTACCAGTCACCAGCCATTCCCTTCAGATGGCTTCTGGAAGGACTTGTCTCTCCACCCTAGGGCTATTTGGGCTTCTCTGCATCCTCCGGCTTGTGCTATTTCCCAGGCACGTTCCCTCTCACACTTGGCTGAATATGGTTTCCCACCTCAGTGAAATCTGCCTCTCCTCTTCCACTTTCCTCAAATTCCCTTAAAAAGAGAGAGCTTCCAAAAAAAGCTCCAGTTAGACCCCGTTTCCTTGGTTTCATATGCCATTGGGTCACCTTCAGCAGCTTGATGGCCCTCATGGTGCAGCACCCAGCGAGACTCCAAAGCAATTGTGTGTACCCTGCCAGAGTCTGGGAACACCTCCTGGCTCACACCCAAGGTCAGCTTTGTTTCAGTAATCATTCGTGGTTCGCTTCCAAGTGATTCTTGGGCGTTTTTAGAGAAGAGTTCAGAGCCTGGCTCCTGGCTCCTTAGATTTGTTCAGACGATTAGGCTTATGTACATCTGAGTTTTCTCCATCATTGAGTAAGAATTGCCACACTGAGGTCACTGGCTGAAGTTGTAAATACTACCTGAACAGACTGGCATCAGTGCAGGAAGAGAAGATGGCATTTATCAAGTGAAGCCCTATTCTATCAGAGATAAAACAAGCCCTGGAGGTTAGAGCCTGCCTAAGATTCATCACTGGGGTGGTGACTTGACTTAGCTGTTGGTCCACAATTAACTATCTGCTGATGAAGATAAGGATGACATATATAACTTTGCAATAATACAATATATTTTCTCCTTCTTGAGATTATCATTTGGGTATCTCATTTAAAATTTAACAATGTCCTATTGTGTGTGGCCCACCATTTTATATTAAGATATTTTTCTGAAGCCATCAGATGAAAAAACAATTCCAGATAAATATAGAATGCTATTAGGATACTGAGGAATGACGTCTAGCTGCCTGGTGGCAGTCGTAACTTTTTGTGCTTATTTTAGTCGGTTGCAGGCCATTAAAAGACAAGTTGTCTGGTCACGAACCAAGCATTTACAGTCTGCTTCGAGGCACACAGGACTGTTCATTCCTAGGAGTGAAATGTCTACATTACACAGACTGCAAGATTGGAGCGATAAATCATACTTACATTTTTTCTTTCGCCAAGATATTGTAGGCTCCCATTTTAAAAGCCAGGCACTTGATTTAGAATGTGTAAGGCAATGCTTTGGGGATTTGGTAAAATTCCTTGAATGAACTGTAGCTTTGTGAATTACCATTTTCTCCTTAAACCATAAGGCAGGGGAAAAAAAATTCCTTATAACAAAATAGCATTCTTATGCACCTGCATTCTGATCCAGGGGAACACACCGGGCATTGTCCTCAGGAAAGAGAACAAAGGAGGTGAGAGTACAGGGAATATTAGGAGTGTGAACTTGAGGGCAAAGAAGGTCCAACTGTCACAGATCAGAGCAGATGAATCCTCATTTCAGCAAACATTTGATATATATCTGCTCAGAAATAAGGAAGCTTGTTCTGCCAACAGCCAGCAGTCCAAATCTCTCTGCTGACTTCCAGATACACATCCCTACCTGCCTATCCTAAAAGTGGGGATGTCTAAACTTTGGAGTCAGATAAAATGGATTCAAACCCCAGCTACTCTACTTTCTAACAATAGAGCATATTGCCTAACTTTCCGAACCTCTTTTCTCATTTTGAAAATAGGTATATAAGAACTACTGTTATAGGATGGCTGTGATTAAATAAGACAACATAGTAGGAGCTTAAAAATGTTAGTTCTGATCAGTTCTAGTCATATTCCAGAAGTAGGTGCTTCCTTTTCAGACTTAAGAAATGAGAGAAGGAGAATGAACATATCAACATGGATTCACTGAATGTTTAAGAATAAAAAGGGTGGATATCATTTGACATGGGTTTAAGTCCCAGTTAAGCTACTTGCCAGCTGTGTGACCCCCATGAAGCTCATCCAAGCCTTTCCTTCTTCACTTGTAAAAGAAGATAATCATTATGCCTGCCTTAGATCTGCTCACAACACACATATCTTTGCTTAAAACTATACCTAAATGTCCTCCCATATCCCTTGTGTTAAGACCAGAATATTTACAGGGATCTCCAGGACCTGTACGGTCTCATTTCTGGTGACATCTCTGCTTTGTGTTCATTCCCCTTGCCTCTCTGTTCCATCTACGGTGTCCTTTTCTCCTTCCCCAAAAGGACCACACTACCAGCTGCCAAGGGATTTTCCTTCCTGAAGTCTGCTCCTCCCCTCTCCCATCCTCCCATCTACCCAATAGCACTACTATCACCACACACACACACACACACACACACACACACACACACACACACACACAATTCCACTTGATTATCATGCACCCACCAGATCTCAGCTCAGATTTTACTTTTTTGGTACAGCCTTTCCTAATACCAACACTCTGAGTTTCCTCTGTTATATACTTTCATGACACCATATTTCTTTTTTTTTAAAGCACTTATCTCAACTTGGATTTATATATTTATTTCTGGAATTCCTTGGTTAACTTCTATCTCCCTTGTTAACTCCATGGGAACAAATCTGTAACTGCTAACCTTTATATCTCTGTAGCATAGTACAGTTCTTGAAATATACATGGTCAATAAATATTTGATGCATGAGTATTATGGAGACTAAATGAACTAATGCTGTGCCTGGCATCTACAATTAGTAAGTACATCAAGTACATGATAATATACCAGAAACTATAAAAAAGGAAGCAAACCAAGTTTAGAGGAGTTAACCAGGATCTGTTCCGGGAGGAGGTGGGCTGTAAGCCCAAGACGTATATTATTTGTCACAAAGAAATTATAGAAAAGGAGACAATAATAGCCCATGGTTGTAGTCACAAAGAACAAAGGGTTTAAGACAATTTGAAAGAAGCCTTGCTGAGCCTTTACTGAGCACTCACAGTTGAGCGTGGAGGAGCAGGCCTCAGAGAGGAGAAGCCAGGAACTGCCTCCTTAATTCAGTGAGTACTGCTTTTAGAAGTATTGTGGCCTCACCATTAGTCTCCAAATTCTGTCTACAGACAGAGGCTTGACACAGTCTGCTTTGCTACATTTTCAGAGCAAAATAAACTTCCTTCATATATTCATCCACCATTACCTTCCCAAATCCCTGCAGCTCACATACCATGATAAGGCTCTGTCTTTCCACCATCATGGGCAGAGATGGGGGAATAGGTGGCAGAATAGCAAAGGGCATTATCCGGGAATCACATACACCTGGTCTACCTTCAAGCTCTGACCTTTACTAGCTAGCTGCACTAATTTGAGCACACTGTTTAATTTCTTGGAGCCTCAGTTTTCTCCTTCCTAGGGAGACTGAATATTTAACAAAATAATGTAAATAAAAGGTAGAATATCATGCCCAGTACAAAGCAAGGTATACCGTATATTTTAGGTACCTTCTCTTCATAATTTACATCTTTTCACAATATGTTTTATTTCCTAGTCTTCTGAACAATCTCATTAACACTATCCTAAGGAGTGTTGTATGAAGGTTGTCTCTGACCTATGAGCACATCTAATGAGACTTGTTCCAGAGATAAGGAGGCTGTGATACCCTGCCCCTCATCTTCTGAGTGGGTTTTGCAGTTGCTGACATGACATGCCATGGGTATGAAATTTTACCACCATCATGAAAGATGTGATGCCATCATGCGTGGAATCTTGAGTTCATTGCTGGTCACTTGTGCTCTGATAACATTAAAGGGCCATCCAGGTCCAGGGCCATCCAGGTCCAGGGTCATCCAGGTCCTCTGAGTGTAATGAGCTTATATAGTAAATAGATAATCTTCTGTAATTAAGGGTCTTAGACAATTTCCACCAATAACTCTTATTA